AGGAGAAATTCCTCTGCAGACAGACCTTGTGCTACTTCTGAGGGGGTGGGACAAACAAAACAACAGAGCAGTGTCACTTGAGGGCCTGCTCTGGAACTTCATGCAGATACTCACTTAACAACAGCCCTGTGGGGAAACAGCCTCAGTGTAAGGATTCCCCTGACCTGCCCCTGTCTGTTCTGCCTTCCTAAATCCAAATTTACCTCTCTCCTCTCTGTGCTAGAGTCACCCCGGGCTGCTCTGCTTTCACTGAGGCTAAAAAGAGAGAAACACAAAGACAGGGCAGCAAATGGGAACGTTCCCACTTTTGTTCGGCCACACGGAGCCAGGTCCCACTCACTCGTCCCGAGGTCTCTGGAGCAGCTGTCAGAGACCCTCTGGCCCTGGCACGGGGTGCCCAGGATGCCCCTGGATCCCTGGCAGTGCCCAAGGCCAGGCTGGACACTGGGGCTTGGAGCACCTGGGACAGTGGGAGGTGTCCCTGCCAGGGCAGGGGGTGACACTGGATGAGCTTCAGGTCCCTTCCAACCCAACCATTCCACGATTCATGAGCCCCATAACCCTCTCCCACTCCCCCGAAAGTGACACCAACTCCCTTTTGCAACTCCAAACCCCAAAAAACACCCCAAAAAACCACCCCAAATCGCTTCCCACCCACCTTCCGGGGATCAGCTGAGGGCCGTGACCGCAGCCTCCTTCCTGTCCCCGTCACCCTTGGCCGGACACCCGGGCAGGGCAGTGCAGGGCAGGGGCGTCTCTGCCCCCTCAGCCCTCCCGCCCCGCCGCCCCCCGGCCCCAGCCCCGTCTGAGTCCTCAGCCACGGCCGGGCCGGTTTCACCGCACAGCCCCGGGGCTGCCCAGCGGAGGCCACTGAGGACAAGGCGGGGGGGACGGGATGAGCGGAGCCTCACAGGGACCCCTGACCGGGACGCCTCACCGGGACCCCGTGTACCCCCGCCACACTCACCCACCTCTGGCCAGGCCCGCGCCGCGCTGCCTACAACTCCCACAACACCTTACGGCAACAGCGCATGCGCAGATCACAAAAGACACGAAGCGCAGCCTACAACTCCCAGCATGCTCACGGGCACTAGCACTCCGTATAAATAACAGAGCACCGCCTACATCCCCCAGCAGCCCTCGCGGCGCGGCGCAGGCGCAGAGCACGCGGGCAAGATGGTGCTGCTGCGGCGGGTGTACGAGTCGCTGTTCCGCCGCAGCTCCACGTTCGCGCTGTCCATCATGCTGGGCGCGGTGCTCTTCGAGCGCGCCTTCGACCAGGGCGCGGACGCGCTCTTCGAGCACCTCAACGAAGGGGTAAGGGCTGGGTAAGGCCCGGCCAGGGCCGCCCGGGCGCGGGCGCAGCGCTGAAGGTCAGGCCGGCCCCGCTGGGCCCCGCCCCGGCAGCCCCGGGCCCGCGGCTCGGCCTCAGGGCTCGCTGAGGGTCAGCGCGGCTCGGCCGCCCCCGAGGGGCTCCGCGGCTGCCGTGGTGCTCGGCGGGCTTGGGGTGTCCTCTGGCTTCTCTGGCCGCTGGGAAGGGCCGTGCAAGGCAGGGGGAGCGGGAGGAGGAAAAGGAGCCGCTTTGTGCTCTGCAGGCCCCGGCTCGGCTGATCTGTCCATGGCAAAGGAAGGGGATAAGGACTGGTGGCCTTGGGTGTCCCCAGCGTGAACCTTGGGTAAAAGGGTCAAGTCGTCCTTAGGTTCCTAAGTACAGCAGTGACGGGATAATGACTGCGGGATAGCGAGGCAGGCTTGGGGGAGACCTCAGAGCCCCGTTCAGGGCATACAGAGGCTCCAGGAGATGAGAAAAAGATTTTGGACAAGAGCCTGAAATGACAGGAAAAGTGGGAATGGCTCCCACTGCCAGAGGGCAGGGATGGATGGGATATTGGGAATTGGGAATTGTTCCCTGGCAGGGTGAGCAGGCCCTGGCACAGGGTGCCCAGAGCAGCTGGGGCTGCCCCTGGATCCCTGGCAGTGCCCAAGGCCAGGCTGGATATTGGGACTGGGACACCCTGGGACAGTGGGAGGTGTCCCTGCCATGGCAGGGGTGGCACTGGATGAGTTTTAAGATCTGTTCCAACCCATTCCATGATTGTTCTGTGCATCCCTTATGTGCAGGAGCAGAACTGCCCTCTCCATGTGGGTGGGAATGCAGGGCAGTGTCTCTGGGCCACTAATCCAGAGCAGAACAGGGGGAGGGGAATCTCTGCACGTTCTCCCTGTCCACATTAGAAGCCAGGAGCCCCCATGTGTATCCCTGTATCCCCCAGATCCAGTACAGGACTCCATCCCCACCTCCCCAGTAGGATAATTTGCATTTTGGATTCTGTTATCCAAGCCCCACTATAAGCTGCCTCAAACATCTTGATTTTTTTCCCCCCTGGTTGTTTTGCATGCAGAAACTGTGGAAACACATCAAGCACAAGTATGAGAACTGAGCAGCTCAGCAGCAGGAGCCAGCCTGGGGTGGCAACAGGCACTGCAGGGATGGATTCAGCCTCCTGAAACTGGGCATGGATTCCTGATGGAACAACCCCGAGCCACCAACTGATCCCATGTGAAGCCAGATGGACTCAAGGAGTTCTGCTGCTGTACTCCCCTTACTGTGTTCAAATAAACTCCTGGTCCTCTCTTGTGTCTGTGTGTTCAGCTCACTCATCCTTTGCTCTCCCTGTGCCTCCTTCTCTGGGAGGTGGAGAATCTTTAAAACCAGCCCTGTGCCTGAGTTCCAAGGCACTGTCAGGAATCACAACATCTTAAAATGGGCTTGAAAGCACTTAGATGAGGTTCATGGCAACCCTTGTCTGCGCACAGAAAAGGGGCTCAGAATCACTCACAGCACCTTTTGTAGCTCAGCTCTGGTGGAATTCCTGCCCTGGGGCCTTTCAGAGCTGCAGGTGCTGCTGCAGCCCTACCCCAGCAGGAGTGTGCTGAGAGGGGCTCAGCTGCAGCTGGCAGAGGTGCTGTGGATCCTTCCCTGATGATCCCTGCACCACCTGGCTCTTCCCATGGCTGCAGGAGCAAAGTGATGCCAGGTTTGTGTCACAGCTGCCTCCATCCCCAGTGACCCAAGGAAAGGGAGAGAATCACTCAGCTCCCCCAGGGGCTGGCTCAGGAGTCATGGAATGGTTTGGATGGGAAGGGACCCTAAAGATTGTCCAGTTCCTCCACCCTGTGCAGAATCATTCTCTTCTCCCTGAAGAGCCCAGCCCTGCCTGGCCCTGTCAAACACTTCTTTCCACGTGGGAAGAGGATTTGGGCATTTTCTGGGGTAATGACTCAGTTAATTCCTGAGCTCTCAGGTGGCTGCAGGGAGATGTGGCTGAGTGACTCCTCCTGTTCCCACTTTCCCCGTCCAGCAGCCCCAGCTCCCCCTCCTCAGTCCATTTTCCCTAATCAGGAGCAATTCCAGCCCAGGCTGAGGCAGAGCCCATCACAGGCAGTGCTCACAATCAGTGCTCACAGCAGCTTTGTTGGGTTTGCAAACGAGCACCAGGGGGGTAAAACGTTTACTCTGAGAACACGACGAGCACTTAAACACTTGTGCTTGTTTTTGGAGCCAAACCCAACTGCAGCTGTCCCAGTCCCAGCTGTGCTTTATGGAGATGGTTGAGAGAAAGGTTTAAACCTTCCTAGGACAGCCCCATCTGAGTGAGTGCCAGCTCCCTGAGCTCTGCTGCTGCTCCACACCAGGCTGAGCAGCTCAGAGAGAGTTGCAGGCTCAGAGCAGCTGAACCAAAGCTGAATACAGGATGAGGGGACAGCACTGCAGTGGGCAGCAGGGAGGAGCTGAAGCCATCGGTGCAGAGAGCAGGAGCTGCAGGAGAGCAGCATTAGCCCAGCAGGGGATTTTCCTGGATACAGCATTTGGGGATTCTGGTAAATCTATTCCTTTTTCCATGCCTGGCATTGGGAGGTTTGGGCAGCACTGATAGGCAATGAAAAATCTCCTTGGAGCACTCAGGGCTTCCCCTCATTTCATGGCAGTGGCTGTTGTGCTGCATTTCTGCTACTCTTCACGCAGCCCCAGTCACACTCCTGCCCTCTGCACAACACCAGGCACCAAGGTGTGGACCTTACTACCACCCTACTAGCACCTTACCACTCCACTTCTCCTGCAGCACTGGGATTGCCCTGGAGCACAAATCACTGCTGATTTCCCCACTGTGGGGTGACAGCCACAGGCACTGCTGCAGTGCAACAAAATACAGCGTGGTGGGGAGAGGGCACTCAGGGCACATTAACCAGCAAATTAACCCAGCAAAGCCTATTTGGATACCAGGAAGTTCATCAATACTGTGTAAGGGTCTTAAAAAGCCAGCTAAGACATCTACATCTTTTATTTGCACCATCTGTTTTCACAGGCCTCGCTTGAGGGACAGAAATCCATAAGGTCTGACTCACCTGGACCCCTGTGGGTCTGCTGGCAGTGGGAACAGCCTGAGCCTTTCTCTGCCAGCTCAGAGCTGTGCTGGGAGGTTTAGGTGGAGCTCAGGGCAAGGTTCTTCCCCCAGAGGGTGCTGGCACTGCCCAGGCTGCCCAGGGAATGGGCACGGCCCCGAGGCTGCCAGAGCTCCAGGAGCCTTTGGGCAGCACTGCCAGGGATGGACAGGGTGGGGCTGTTGGGGGTCTGGGCAGGGACAGGAGTGGGACTGGATGATTCCTGTGGGTCCCTTCCAAGCTGGGACAATCTACAACCCAAGTTCAGGATAAGGCATTTCCATGGAAGCCGTGCTCTCAGAGCTGCCCACTCCAGTATGAAAATAAAACTCTGAATTATAAATAGTACAAAAGGGCAGGAATGGCTGCTGCAGCCTGTCCCGTGTATTGGCTGCAGCCACTGGCATACACAGAGGGCAGGAATTGCACTCCCACAGGGAATGCAGCTCCGTGCGAGCCCAGCTGCCGGGTATTGCACACAACATCCATCCCCGAGCAAGGGAATGCCAGGAACGGGAGCCTCCTCCTGGGCAGGGCCCGTCACGGTGCAGCCCCGCCCCGGAGCTGCTCAGGACGGGATCATGCCCTTGCTGCGCTTCCTGTCGGCCATGGCCCGCCGGTTGTGGTTGGCCCGGGTGCTTTTGTTGGCTTCCTTCTTCCTCCGCTCCTGCAGCGTCTCCCGGCTCTGCCCGTGGCCCTTGGCGTTGCCAACAACGGCAGAGCCGTCGTGCTTGTGCCTGGGGGACACAGAGCAAGGACATCACAACAGGCACGCTGCACTCCTGCGGTGAAATCCCACATCCCCACAAACACCAGGGTGTGAGGGGTTCAGCTCAGGGCTCTACGGCAGCCCAGGAGCAGCAGCAGCCACACCACCACTGTGTCCTTCCACACACGGAGCCCATCAGCTGAAACCAGCTATGAAACTGTCCCAAAATCCCTGTGGGAGCTGTTGGAGCTCTGGGAGTTGTGCTCTCCGAGAGCCTGTCTTCCACAGGGTTCGTCTGCTTGGAGTGACAGGACAAGGGGGAATGGCTTTATGCTGAAAAAGGGGAGGTTTAGATTGGCTATTAGAAGGAATTGTTCCCTGGCAGGGTGGGCAGGCCCTGGCACAGGGTGGATCCCTGGATCCCTGGCAGTGCCCAAGGCCAGGCTGGATGGGGCTTGGAGCCACCTGGGACAGTTCCTGTCCCTGCCCATGGCAGGGGGTGGAACAAGATGCTCTTAAGGTCCCTTCCCACCCAAACCACTCCATGATTCCATGGCATGCCTACCCCTATTCAAAGGGATAAAACAACCAGCAGTGAAGTAAAGGGTGGGTGAGGAATTCACCCCACTGTGGCAGGACCCTGACACAGGAATGCCAAGGAGCAGGAACACCCCCAACAACTCCAGTCAGCAGCAGAGGAGCTGCAGAGGCAGAGGGAGAGCCTTGCTTACCCCTTCCTGGCGAGGAACGCCTGGCGCCTGGCCTCGGCCCTCTCTCGCAGGACTGCGGGGTCCTGCACAAAGTGGTCCTGAAGGAGGCAAGGGAACAGGGCAGGAAACCCATCAGCACCAAGGGAACAGGGCAGGAGACACATCAGCACCAAGGGAACAGGGCAGGAAACCCATCAGCACCAAGGGAACAGGGCAGGAGACACATCAGCCCCAAGGGAACAGGGCAGGAGACACATCAGCCCCAAGGGAACAGGGCAGGAGACACATCAGCACCATGCAGCAGCCTGGAGAGGAGAGGATTCTGTTTGAAACAGAGTCAACTCCTGGTTCATTACCTCAGGACCAGTGGGATTGGTGTCAGGGGCTCTAAACACAACACCTGGCACAAAATCTGCCTGAAAACCTTCCCAGCCCATGGCTGCTCCCAGCACATCCATGGAAACAGAGTATCAGTGACCCTCAGAGTGCTCTGCTGGCTCTGTCTGTCTCTGGGTAAAGCAGATTAAAGCTCCCCACGGAGGAAGTGTCACTGCTCCAGCACAGTCAGGGCAGGGAGCTGTGGAGAGCTGTCCTTGGGGACACATCACAGCCCAGCAGCCACTGAACAGCAGCTCAGTCCCTGCTGCTGCTCAGAGATTCCCTCTCTGAAACAGGAGATCTGCTCCACATCACCTGCAGGTGAAGCAGGGAAGAAATATGGTAAATTTGAATGCAACTCCAGCTAAATGTCACCTTTGTTCTTTCCTTTTCAGCTTCCTCCTCCTCCTCTTCATCTTCTTCCTCTGTCTCCTGTCCTTCTTCATGTCCTTTAGGTCTCAAGACCTGAGGAATTGTGAATGGCCTGGGAAATAAGACACAAATAGTTAGAAAAGAAAACAGCACAGCCACAAACATTTCTCTGAACAGCGCATCCTTTGTGGTTTGCATTATGTCTTTAAAAAGATGAGACTCTACAGATTTCATGGACTTCATTTTCCTGAACAAAAAAAACCAAAAAAAAGCCCAGAAGAGCCAGGAGTTAATACCACATTCCTATGGGCAATTAACATACACACAGTCTCCACTGGGGAATGTTCACTATGAAATTGTCACTGAAAATAATAATAATAATAATAATGATAGTTATATAAAACCCCAACCCTGAAACCTCACAAGGAATTTCTCCACAGAAACAACTGCTTCCTTTGGGAAATGGGCATCCAGACACAGCCACAATATGAAGGAGTATCCTTTGCTACAGCAGACAGGGAGCATCTGCTGTAGCAGACAAATCTGGACAGAAGCATTCCTGCTCAGGCAATGCTGTGCTCCAAACCCTCTGACTGCTCAGGGCTACCCAGGGAGCCCCAGTTCCATTGCTCTGCCCCAGTTTCCTACAGGGGGAAAACCCTGGAGAAATTCATCAGGCTTTATGAATCACTGGACAGGCAGAGCAAAAGGCCTGGGGGTGGAGGAAGAATTTACACATGCCTATAAGTCTTCTTTAACATAAATATGTGTCTGTGTTTGAATTCCATTGGAATTCAGACCCACCATTCCACTGCCAAAGAAATAAATGCAGAACCAGAAAAGCCTTTGTTATGTCAAACCAACAGATCCAGTTTTCAGCACTGACATCCACTAATTGTTTCTAGGGGCACTGAGACCTGAAAGAGGGAAAAACACCTGAACGCCACATTCTTACAGGCAAAACACAAAAAGGATTTAAATTGAAGCTTCTCAACACTTTAGGAGAGAGAAAAAAGGGACAAAGAGCCTCAAAGCTTCCATTTGGTTTGAGGTTAGGGATGGTGACATCTTCATAATACATCAGAATTCAAAAGGCCACTTTCAGAAATGTTAAAGCAGCTTTTAAACCACACGATTTCTAAAATAAATAGTCTCCAGCCTCCATCCCCATTAACCCTTTGTTTCCCAAAAGCTAATTGTGTGCAGTTGTCAGTCATGGTGCAGAGTGCTGTGCAGTTCATCAGGGACTCAATTCCAGCTGTCAGCACTCAGAGGGGATTGGCAGGGAAAAGTCTGGTTGTAAAATTCCCCAAATTTTGAGGTTTTCCTTTGCTAACCAGCCATTTTAGGTTGCCCAGCTCCACTGATTTTCCAAGGCATTTTTCCCTGCTGCAGGGAAGTTTCTCCAACTTCTCCAAGGAGAGGCACTGCAGTGTACAAGTTTCCACACATGGCAAATTCCCCTCTTGGATTCCCCTCTTCTTCACGCCGGAAATCCCAAGAGGACTCCGAAGGCCAAGAGCCCTGCTTTTAACCCCTTGGGTTCGTAGTCTCAAGAGGCGGATCCAAATGTCCCACTGGTCAAACTAAGTGCCCATCTTAAATTCCAATTACCCATTGGTAACCACAGCAAAACAACATATCCCAGATGTCCCATTTCCGGTCAAACCACGACACTGACTAATTGAGGCAATGGCCCAGTGGAAGCTGGGCACACTCTGTGTTCATTTGCAACCCATTCCTGAATCTTAGGAATAGTCTGGCTAGGAATTTAGTTTGTATTTATGTACAGCCACTCTTCAATGAGGTTCTTTGCCTCAAGAGTGCCATCACTTTCTGTTCAAGGAATAGCCTGCTGTAGGGGGATAGACCATAAGTAAATACAGGTAGTACAGAAAGTCACCTTACCCCCTAAAGAGTTGCAGCTGAGCCAATTATTAAGGATTAGGAGCAGGCCTGATGTTAACAGGCAGCTGTTAACATAAGAAGAGTGTTATAAAAGAGTGGGTTGTTGGGAACTGGAGTCAGTTGGCTGCTGTGAGGACAAGGAAGAGTCAGTGCCTAGAGGAGATGCCTACAAGAAACATCAGGGAGGTACAAAACTCCAGCAGTATGGAACCTTTGCAATGTAATGACAATAGAACACTCCCTATCCACAGGAGGAGACCCAAACATCCCTCCTTGCACATCACAGTGCAAACAGAGAAAGGGCTGGTTTGAATCCCTCGTGGAGGAGCAGAGCCCTAACAGCGTTTCCCAGGTTTGTGGGAGCCAGACAATTCCCTGCCTCCCTCCTTCCCCCTCCTCTCAGCATTCACCTCCTGGCGATGAGCTCGTCATCCGAGTCAGCGTCGTTAGCGCCCACTTGGTTCCCATCGTAGGTGTCGTCGTACTCGTCCTCGTAGTCGCCGTAGCCCAGGGCGGCCGCGGGCGGCAGGGGCAGCTCCTCCAGCACCACGCTGTACCGGCTGTAGCGCTGCCGCTGCTCCGCCACCAGCCGCTTGTCGTTCACCAGGCTCCGCGTCGTGTCCTTCTCCCTCCTGCCCGGCAGCGGGAGGAAAAGGGTTAAAACCTGCCCCTGAAGCGGCTTTTTGTCCTGTTAGTCAGTGGGGTGTGAAGCAGCGCAAGCCTCGCCCCCAGTGCCACAGGCTCGGCTTACCCCCCCACCTACTGGCCTGCTGCTTTATGGGATCGTGGGATGGTTTGGGCAGGAAGGGATCTTAAAGCTCATCTTATTCCACCCTCACACCTTCCACTAGCTCAGGATGCTCTGAGCCCTGTCCAGCCTGGCCTTGGACACTGAGGGATCCAGGGGCAGCCACAGTTTCTTTGGGCACCCTGTGCCAGGGTCTCTCCACCCTCCCAGGGAACAATTCCTGCCCAATATTCCCTCTATCCCTGCCATGTGGCAGTGGGAAGCCATTCCCCCTTCTCCTGTCACTCCAAGCCCCAATGTCCAACCTGGCCTTGGGCACTTCCAGGGATCCAAGGGCAGCCACAGCTTCTCTGGGCACCCTGTGCCAGGGCTTCCCCACCCTTCCAATTCCTTCCCAATATTCCCTCCATCCCTGCCCTGTGGTAGTGGAAGCCATTCCCCCTTTTCCTGTCACTCCAAGCCCTTGCAAACAGTCTCTCTTCCATCTTTCTTCTCAGCCCCTTCAGGTCCTGGAAGGCCACAATTAGGTCATCTCAGAGCTTTCACTTCAGGCTGAACAATCCTAATTCTCCTAATTTTCCACACAGCAGAGCTGCTCCATCCCTCTGCTCGTCCTGGAGCCTCCTCTGGTGTCACTCCAGCAGCTCCAGCTCCTTCCTGTGCTGAGCCCAGGGCTGGATGGAGTGATCATTTGTCCCAGGGCTGTTTGGCCACTCAGAAAGAGCAGGAATTGGAGACCACCACCAGCACTTCAGGCAGAGAGGAAGCTCTCACAGGAGGCCAAATGCAATCCCATTGCAGGTGAAACTTGGCCAAGGTGCATGGAGCACAAATGTGAGGGGAAAAGGACAAATGTAGACAGGGAGATCCAAAAAACAACCAGGTGAGAATGAGAATAAACACAATTCCCAAGGCAAAGAACAAAACAGTGGAGAGTGACTGTGATTCAACCTCTCAGAGCACTGCAAGGGCTTGTTCTTTAAATTTAGAAGGCAAGTAAATTACAGTCATTTTATAGAAGGGAAGACCAAGAAACAGAGGATTTCAAAAGCAGCTGCTGAGTGTCTCAAGCTGCACAAGCATAATCTCTCAAGTGCCATTTTTCAGACCAGCCAAGTACATGTTTACAGCAAAGCAACAAGGGATTCCACTGGCCAGCATTCCCAGGAGAACTTGCATCCCAGGATATAATCCCAGCAGTGGCGTTAACAGAGAAAGAACCTGGCCAAGGCAGTGGCAGTGACTCAGGAAGGGACAGACTGAGGGGGTGTGATCCAGCAGCCCAGATTTTCATTTGGAATCTCAAAACAAAGGAAGTTTGCAGCAGGAGGTGGTTCCCTGTCTGCCATGACTCACTGGTGGCACAATGCCCTCCCCAGCACGTGCTGAGCTCACCCAGCCCGGGATCCCTGGGATAACAGCTCCTGTGGGAATTCAGCTGAGCCTGAACCCTGCACCTGCTAATTGCTTCCTGTCCAGCTGGTCTGGTGACTGCACAGGAGCTGCATGAATGGGCACCAATCCCAGGAAAAAACCAGTGGGATAGCTCCTCATGGAGCTCAGGACATGCTGTGGCTCCAGGAAACACATTCAGCTGACAGCCAGGGCTGGACAGGCACAGACAAGTGCCATCACTTTTCAGGATCAGCAGAGTCTGTGCTGGCACATTCATTTCCTTGTGTTTGATTCTCTCCACGTCCTGGCTGGATTTGTCTTTCTCAAGGACAGTCTCTGCCCCAAACTGCTGATGCTGAGAGTGGCCAGGACAACCTGCTCTGGCCCTTTAGTGCTATGGTGACACCAGGCTTAGCAACAGCACCCTGAACACAAGAGAATTTGGTGAGCAAAAGGTATTTAGAAGGAGGAAAAAAAATTAAATATTTGATAGAATTCAAATCCAAAGCAAATCTCAGACTAAGCTTGGAGAGCCCTGTTACCCCAAAACTGGGGTGAACCATCAGTGCTGAATATTAAATCCTGGAGACAAGGTACTGCAGCTTTTCCTTGGATTCAGTTGGATATGGTCATCTTTGGGCACTGCTGATCTCCAGGTTATAAACTACTCAAACCACAATTAATGTCTGGAGTCCTGCAGACTTTTCCCAAATGTTCTGAAATGAAGGGAGGCAAATGACAGCAGCAAGAGGATAATCCCAAGGGGTCACATAACTACAGCAGGAGAGAGGAGAACTTCTCCAAGAGTGCTGGTGCCCCTGGAGGGCAGTGCCATGGGAGCACATCCCAGAGCCCAGCTCAGGGATGATTTACAGCTTCCAAAGCTCTCCAAGTGATCTGCAGAGGGAGCTCTGGATATTCCAGCCACTGCATGCTCTGTGCTGAACTCAGTGCTCTCTCGCCTTGACCAGCTGCTACTGCAGGGCTTTGGGAAACAGGGATAAAGGCTCTGGGATTCAGGGATAACCCAGCACACCTGTGCAAGGCTTTGGGCATCAGGGATAACCCAGCACAGCTGTGCAGGGCTTTGGGCATCAGGGATTACCCAGCACACCTGTGCAATGCACCTGTCTCACAGAGCAAGGCACCACCATGAGGAGAAAGGTTCTGCCTCTGAATTCTCAGCTATGGACACAACAAAAGTCATGGCCTTGGCCAGAGAGAAAGGAAATTCCTTTCTTGCTCAACCAAGACAGGATCAGCACTGTGGCACTGCTCTGAGGAGCTGGGCCACTGGACTTGGGAACAAAAGTGTTTTTTTCCTGAAGTTTGATGCAACTTTGCTACCAAAACCTTAACAGGGTGCTCTCAGGTCAGTGGCTCCAACTCCAGCCAGACTTTTAGTTATCTGCTGTGTAAACAGATCCCAACATTAGGATCACCCTTGGATGGTTAGAGGAGGTGTTTAAAGTCCAGTGCAAGGCATCCCTGCCCATGGCAGGGGGTGGAACGAGATGAGCCTTAAGGTTCCTTCCAACCCAAACCATTCCACGATCCTGTAATATGTTTTTAAAAGAATCTGGAACAAGGGAGCCACACCATAGAGCTGACATCAGTGGGAGCCAGCACCACACACCCTGTGAGGCAGAAAGCAAAGTGAAAACTGGTGGGGGTTTGCAGAAATCTCTGTTCCTGCCAGGGGGATCCCTGCTCAGTGCAGGCAGATTGACTAAATGACCTTTAAAGGTCCCTCCCAGCCCAAACTACTCCACAAGTCCAGGTGCCCTTCTGCAGGAAGCTTTACAGCAGCAGGGACACACAAGCAGTCTAAGGCACTGAATGTTATCAGATGTTGAAGTAGATGGATATTGAATCTTCCCTTGGCTCCGGATCAAATCATTAGTTATTCTCAGCTCTGAGTCACAGTCCCAGGCTCAGGGATGGGTCTTTTCAAGGTTTGTTGTTCAGTGCAAGTTGAACACTAAGCCCAAGGAGGAAGAGCCTGACATTACAAATGAGCTTGGCAGAGCAATCTCCAGCAGCAGACACAGGAAAGCCAATTAGGAAAAACACTAAGTGAAACCAAGCCCCTCATAATATTTCACTTTCCCAGACAAACAGGTGGGAAACATTTTTGATAAGCCTTTCCCCTTGCCAAAACATTCCTGCAGGAGGTTTTTAGGAGAGATAAATGTGCAGGATCCCAGGTGTTTGTTCCTCCTGACAGGCAGAGTTAATGACTGGGTGCCAACACTCACCTCTTGCCTTTCTGGATCCGAGACACATCCACTGCATCCCTGCTGAAAACATCAAACTCATCATTCTGGAAAACGTTACAGCGAGAGCTGACCAGAGGGGTAGGGTCTGGCTTCAGCTGCCTGTTAAAAAACAAACAGAGAGAATAAAAACAAAAGTGAAGTGAGGAAGAGAAATCCTCTCCCTTCCCTAAGCCCTTGCTTTATCCTTTATCAATCCCAAAATATCCTGAGCACACCAGAGGTGCTGGCTGAGTCACAGGGCACAACCCCTTCCCTTCCCAAAGCTTGGATTTGAGGGGAAACTAAAGTAACTCACAGAAAGCCAAGAGAAATTTTTTCTGTTCATTTCAGAGTCTATCAAACCATGCAGGACAACAGAATATTCAACAGACTGCCTGGTCTCAACACAGTGCCTCAGTGAAGACAAACACTAAGTGTGATGAATTACAGGCTGGAAAAAATTCCAATAATTTGTTGCTGCTGATTTCAAGATATTTATCTCCCTTGTTAAATCTTTCCCAGGGTTCCAGGTTTATGTTTGTTCAATTTGTAAGTCAGAAGACTGTACTTTTGACATTCATTTTGGTGGTGCAGACAGCTCAGCTGGGCAGCTGCAAATGCTGCTGTGCTCCCCTATAAATCAGCAGGGGTCACAATTCGACATTTCCTATCGAACCAGCAGCTTTGTTTCAAGATGCAAAAGGCAGGAAGAAAAAAAATGCAGCTCTATCTTGTGGAACTGCTGGCTTTGCAGAAAAAGCAATCCTTCCTAAAGCCTGTCCTGCACCAGTTGTGCCAAAGTCAGCAGATCTGATGGTGGGAACAGAAAGATTGTTGCAAAACTCAGATTTTTTTACATCATTTTTCCGATAAAGATGCTTTCCTTTAATGCAAGAGTGAGACAGTCTGCCCATAACTCCATGAAATGTGAACAAACAGCACATTCACATCCTGATGCTCTGTCAGGAACTGCTGGTGCAGCACAAACACACACTCACAGCTGCAGACAAACTCCAACAGCTCAATCCTGCCACCAGCTATAAACTCTCCATCCCCTGCCCGATCCAGGAAAGCAGGACAAGCCTGGCAAGTTTGTCAGAGGGAACATAAAAATGGATCTGAATTGTTCTATCTTCACTCACAAAGCAGCAGCCTGTTAGATAACCATATTCGACCCTGTGGGTTGAATTCCAGCTGAATTGGGTCCTCTGAAGATGCCCTTTCCTGCAGGACAGCTGGGATATTCACAGCTGTGACAACAAATGCTGCAGCAAAATAACTTTTGAAGGCAATATATTCTGTTGCCCAGCATCCTAGTCTAGTCTAGTCTAGTTTAGTCTAGCATTTCATGTATAAGTGGTTTTGTCCCCTGTCACAAAACACAACCCTGCACCTGCTCTAACACTGAGCAGCAAAGTTCCCACTCCTCTGCAGGGACACAAGGAGGGCAGAAAACTGGTGACAGGTGACAATGAGAGGCCTTCACTTCTGTTCTCTATCCCAAATATGCAAATTCTCACAGTTCTACAAGTGTTGAGCCTTCAGTGAGAGCAATTAAGTGAGACAGAAACAACCAGAGCTTGTCCCACACCTTTGCATCCTTCGGTCCAGCTTATCCAGGTACGGCACCAACTTCTCCTCCAGGATGTTGTTGATCACCTGCTCTGTGTCATATCCATACTCCTCCAGGCAGGCCAGGATGAATCCCTCTCCAAGATCTGGCAGCAGATCCTTCACTTGGGAGATGAGGGAGTCCAGCTCCACGCCGGACACGGCGGCGACGGGCGCGGCCGCAGCGCCGGCACACTGGGGACACCAAACACACCTGGTGGCACTGGGCAGGGACACAGCTGAGGGCAGGCAGTGGGCACAGAAACACAGGGCAAGCAGCACTCTGGGGGGCTCTCAGGGTTTACACACACAAGTCCAAGACTGGAGCCCAAAGAGAAACCAGCTGTTTAAAGTACACGAGGTTTCCAGCACAGATTTGGGCACACAGCTCCTTCTGCCAGTCCCTGAGTCAGCAAGGACACCCTGGAGAATCCCTTCCTCAAATAACAGGCAAGCTCTGCATTTCAAAAATATGCACATGAGCTGCAGGGATGAAACAGAGTATTTGAATAATCTCCAGCGAGGGAAAACCCAAGCCATGAGAGCTGGAAGCAATTTGCTCAGAGATAACTCAGGATTCAGGTATAGCTTTATGTCTCATTTCCCAAGGCTGCATGGAGATCCAGCAAAGGTCAGAAATTACACCAAATCTCATGTTGTCCCCAAAGCTGAGCAAACCAAGCCTGTCCTCACAGACAGAGGAAGGCCAGGAAGAGCAGAGCCCCCAGGGAGAGCAGAGCCCAGTCCCACACAGAGCTGTACTCACCTCATCCTCCAGGGCACACGCAGCCCCCACATCCTCCCTGTCCTCAGGGCTGCCCTCCACTATGGCTGAAGTTCCATTGGATGCTGCTGGAGCTTTAACAGCTTGTCCTTTTCTCCTGTCTACTCCTTCCCAGGCACTTTCCACTGCTTGGAGGATGTAGGCTGTCCTGGTCTCATCTCTAGGAGCACAGAATTAAGGACATTTCTGGATGCACATGTTCAGGGATCACTCTGAGGTAACTATGGGATTGTCAGTGATGCCCAAATTTGTGTCTGCATCAACACTCACAAAACCATGGAATGGTTTGGGTGGGAAGGGACCTTGAAGCTCATCTTGTCCCACCCCCTGCCATGGGCAAGGACAGCTTCCATTACACCAGGTTGCTCCAAGCCTTGGACACTTGCAGGGATGGGGCAGCCTCAGCTTCTCTGGGCAATAACTCCCCCCTATCCTTTTTCTTTTCTGTTAAAGGAAAACTTTCCTGTACTCCTTGCCAGTCATGCAGCTTAACCAGAGGCAGAAATGTCACTGGTGTGAAGGAATCCAAGTGCAGAGCCCAAGGATACAGTGCAGAGGATGCCTGCTGGAGCAGACTCACGTCATCCTCAACAGGGAACAGCTCGTCGTAGTCACGGAGAAATCTGAAAACACAGGAGCAAGTTTAATCAGTGGAGCTCAATTAATTAACACTACTGTGCCTCTCTGACTGCCTCAGTGCTCAGGTAGGAACAGAAAACCTCTCACCCAATGCTGGATTCCAGCCATGCCTGATTTTGGTCCCACTACACCACAGCAACACTCCTCAGGTGTTGCTGGAACCCAGTGCTGCATTACAGGGAAAATCTGCTTTACTATGTGAATGTGCTCAGAATGCCAGCCTGGGCAGGAGGACAAGATGGAATTCCCAGTTCTGCCACTTCCTTTGCATCTCCAGCATTCATGTTTAATATTTTTCTGGTCTGGTCAGCCCAGCTGGAAAGCACAGATCAGTAATAACAGCCTAACTTGTCAAGGCAGCTAATGGCTAAATTGCTCTTCTCTTCTTTGTGAGGCTGGATTAAAGGGAGTGAAGAATTGCATTTCTCAGTGCCAGGGTCTGTGCTGCAGGCTGAAATCCTCTCACTGCACTTCTCCCAGCTACTTACAAGATTTCTGACTCCCAAATGCCTCGTAATGCTGCCTCAGGCAATTCTGCTGTGAAGAACGGCAGAGGAAGGAGCTGAGCCCCTCAGGCCTCCTGCCAGCCAGACTCACCTCCTCTCCTGGAGCACCGAGGTGAAGATCTGCAGAAATTCCTCAATAAATGGCTGAATATTCTCACAGCTGCAGGAAAACAGCACAGTGAACACTCAGAGGCAAGTCTGCCAAGCCCACCACTCACATTTACGCACCAAGGGAAAGCCCCATTGGAGGAGAGATTTCAGGCCACGTTTGGCTTTCACAGGAGCAAAGAGTCAAATGGAGGCAAGTGGTTTTTAAGGCTTCAGCAAACACTTCAGCACTTTGATCTCAAGCTGTATCACACCTAGAATTACAAGTTTTCAGACAGACTATATAAATAGTTTGATGCCTCAGACTTGCAGTGAGCAGAAAATGGTGTGCACAGCTTTTGTAATTGTGCCTTTATGATGTCTTGGGATTACACCAGTGAATTTTCCAGGAAGTCTGTGCTCACCTGAGCAAGAACACCTGCCAAGCAAACTCCCACTGCAGCCTCAGTGCCCAAACCCTGGGTGCTGCTGAGGCTCCAAGCCTTGTTCCAAGGCACCTTTGGGTGGGAAGGGACCTTAAAGCCCACCCTCTGCCACCCCTGCCATGGGCAGGGACACCTTCCACTAGCACAGGGTGCTCCAAACCCCATCCAACCTTGCCTTGGATGCTTCCAAGGATGCCCAGCTGCTCTGGGTACCCTGTGCCAGGGCCTGCCCACACTCCCAGGGAACAATTCCTTCCCAATATCCCATCTAACCCTGCCCTCTGGCAGTGGGAAGCCATTCCCCCTCATCCTGTCACTCCAAGCCCCTGTAAACAGCCTCTCTCCATCTGTATTGTTGGACCTCCAGGTCCTGGAAGGTCACAATTAGATCTCAAGGTGTTACACATGACCAAACTTTGCACAAACCACACACTGGGGTCAGAAAGCTCATTGGACCCAGCTCACACTCCCAGAGATTCTGGACCAAACAGCTCCATCTGGAACATCCTGATACACAGGACAACAGAATTTGACCTTAGCCAAGCCTTTGGCTACGATCCCAACACAAATAGCAGTTTCTGTTCATTTTCTCCAGTAAATTTGTAAATGAGAAGCAATTTCTCCCACACAGCAATCAAGTAATTGGTGAGTAGCACAGAGCCAAGTGCCAATACCTGCTCTCTAGGATGGGCTGCAGACAGACTTGGTTTACTAGGATGTGAAAAACCTCTATCATCTTCTTTCTGGAGTGTGAAATCCTCCTCCACAAATCAGCAAAAACACTTCAGAGAGAGCAAAAGACACTGTTGGTGTCAGCACCAGAATCTGTAACACACCTTTATGCCAGAGTTAATCCTCTAGAAGAAGAATTTCATTAGGATGATCATCTCCTTGCTGCAAAGACCAGATATTAGACACATTTCATGGTCATTAAGGAAAATCCATGCCCTTAATAAAGCTTTTCAATTCCAATTGTCCTGGCAGCTCCCCACATGAGACCCCTGCTGTACCAGCACTGCCTGTCCCTCACAGTGAGACTGAGCTACACAGAGATATCATTCATGTTCTCACACTTTGTAACAATTTACATGCACCTCCCATCAAATTCCTTCTTACACAGCACTAAAAATGATTCGTCACCCCAGTGCCCAGGAAAATTTGCTATTACAGAAGTCATCTCTTCAGAGCCCTTTGAAGCAGCAGGAAAAAAGCCAGGCTCCTCAGGGATGGGTAAAGCAGCATGAAGTGAATTCTTAACTAAGCCCAGGGAAGTCTCACTGAAGATCCAAAGGAAACCTTTGCAGGAATTCTCACCTGTTATCTTCATAATGCCTCTTCTTGATTGCAGATTCCAGCTCAGGAACTGCCAGTTCATAAAATGAAGCCAATCTGTACAGAGGGGAACAAACCTGTACCTGTCAGCTGAGGTTCCAAAAGTCATTTGCTAAAAGGCAGAACAAATGGCTGATTTCATGAAACCCTCCTCACCAGCAGCACCCATGAGCATCACCTCATTTTGGTATTTCTGCCCCAGAACACAAGCAAACACAGCACAGAAAAAAGAGCAGCACTCTAAGGAAATCACAGGGAGGTCTTTGAAGGGGTAAGAAAGAAAAGCATTTGAGAAGCATCCTGGTGCTGATCAGAACCATCTGCTCAACCCAGAAAAACCCCCAACACAGATCTGCAGCCTGAAAAGACCCATCACTCTCAGAATCACAGAAACCTTCATGTTGGAAAAGCCCCCTGAGAGCACAGAGTCCAACCATTCCCCAGCACTGCCAAGGCACCACAGACCATGTCCCAAGTGCCACAACCAGCTGTTCAATCCCACCAGGGATGGGGACTCCACTGCCCTGGGCAGCTGTGTCAGGGCTGGACATCCCTTTCCATGAAGAAATGTTCCCTAACACCCAACCTGAACCTCCCATGGCACAGCTTGAGGCTGTTCCCTTGCCACTCTCTCCCAGCCACTCAGCTTTTGCCAAACCTCACTGATATTCTCCAGCATAAAACTGGGCATAACATCAAAGGCATTTGTTTCCAGACCTTGAAGAACTATTTCTCTGAAATACTTTCTGCTTCACTTGCTTTGGGCCCAACAGCAGAAGTTCCTTTTGTCCATAACTGGTCCCTCCCCACCCTTCCCAGAGCACACCCAGCACTGTTCAGCTGACTGGAAATGGTCATGGATGCCTGGCTCTAGGATCACTCCTAAATAACAACAGACATAGAACAGAAAATCCACACATCCCTATCTCCATGCATTTATTATGCTGCATTCCTGCCAGAGAGACCCCAGCAGCCTCTGCACCAAATCTGTCTCCTCATCTAACAATGGGACAGGACACAGCGGCACATTCAGTATTTTTACATGGCCAGGACAAACTTTGCACTCCAAGACATACCTGTAACAAAATTCATGTTTTTGGAAGGTCTGGCAAGCCAAGGGAAAGACATCAAGAAAGGCCCAGAGAGTTGTGCAGGTGTCACATAAATACAGCACAATGTCCTTCAGCTCCTGGGAGGGAAAGAGCAGTTACTGAGGGAAGGGCCAGGCAAGGTTTCCCAGCAAGGACGCAGAATATTGGGGCCAGGTCCCTTCCTAACTGCAGAGTCTGTATCAACCCCATAAACCCCCAGGGCCTGAGGGCAGAGACAACATTTCTCCCAGAACTCCTAATGTTTGTTTAAATATGTATAATGCAATCCCAACTGCCTGCTTTCATTAAAGATCCTGGGAGATTATAAGAACCCTCATGAGGTTCTGTTCTGGAAGGTGGCTTTGCCCTCAATACACCCTCCACATATGGAATTCTTCCCCATGCATTCTTCCCCAATGCTTCTTTTCATGAAGCACTGCACAGCAGAAACATGGGAATCAAAGGGAACATGGGAATCAAAAGGAACATGGGAAACATGGGAACCAAAAGGAACATGGGAAACATGGGAATCAAAGGAAACATGGGAAATGTGGGAATCAAAAGGAACATGGGAAATGTGGGAACCAAAGGGAACATGGGAATCAAAGGGAACATGGGAAACATGGGAATCAAAAGGAACATGGGAAACATGGGAACCAAAGGGATCATGGGAATCAAAGGGAAAATGGGAAACATGCGTATCAAAGGGAACATGGGAAACATGGGAACCAAAAAGAACATGGGAAACGTGGGAACCAAAGGGAACATGGGTATCAAAGGGAACATGGGAAACATGGGAACCAAAGGGAACATGGGAAATGTGGGATACAAAGGGAACATGGGGATCAAAGGGAACATGGAAGACATGGGAATCAAAGGGAAATGGGAAACGTGGGAACCAAAGGGAACATGGGACACGTGGGAATCAAAGGGAACATGGGAAACATGGGAACCAAAGGGATCATGGGAATCAAAGGGAACATGGAAAACATGGGTATCAAAGGGAACATGGGAAACATGGGAACCAAAAAGAACATGGGAAACATGGGAACCAAAGGGAACATGAGAAATGTGGGAACCAAAGGGAACACGGGAAATGTGGGAATCAAGGGGATGTTTTCTGCAGTCTGGTCCAGTGCCAGCTGCATTTCCAAGGCAGCTGACACAAACTGAGTGACACACTAAATGACAGTTTCAAACTATCACTTATCAATAAATCATACTTTGAACTGATAGTTTGGTCCCACACACAAACTGAAAGACTAAGGTTTTTCAGAGGACCACATTTACTGTCTTTGTACAGCCCCCAGCACATAAACTCCTCTTAATTAACTGCAGTTAAATGACACTGCTGTTAAAATACACATTTCTGAAGGAAAAAAACCCAGCTCTTATGACCTCTAGGGTTAGGTGGAGACTTTTGTCAGATTTTGTTACATTATTTATAAGCTGGTTAAGCAAAAAAGTTGCCAGGTTAAAAACTATCCATGTTCCAAAGGATATGGTTGAAAGGAATCCGCTCATGGTGGAAAGGTTTTATCATCATGTCCCAGGACAAAGAGTGCAACAGTGGCACAGAACCACGAGCTGTGGGAGCTTTTGGGAACAGAATGATCCTCTGTGGCCTGCTCAGAGTACACAGAGCTCACTCCTACCTGGAGGGGCATGTTCCCTGCAGTCACACTGACTTTCTCTTCCAGTTTCTGGGGCTCAGCAGAGGCCCCTTCACACTGCAAACCACACTTGTGCAAAATATTGTTGAACACCTAAATGAGGAGAACAGGGCAGTGTTAACAGACAGGAGCCAGCAGTGGGACACAGCAGAGAAGGCAGGAGCTGAAGGAGGATGGGAGGGAAGTGTCATCAAGTAATAATTTTAGATAAAGTTCAAAACCTCCCTGACACACATTAACAAACTAGGGAAAGGGAGAAACAGCAAAGTCAGGGGAGGCTTAGGCTGGATATTAGGGAAAGTTCTTCCCCCAGAGGGTGGTCAGAGCTCAAGGAGTGTTTGGACAGTGAGTGGGATTGTTGGGATATCTGTGCAGGGCTTGATGATTCTTGGGTCCCTTCCAACTCAGGATATTCCTCATGAAACACATTCTGCCCACCTACAGTGTTCCCTTCCCACTCTCCAAGCTATGCCACATTTCCAGATGAAATCCCAGCAGGAAAGCAGTACCTGGAGGATAGTGGGCAGAGTTTCATCGAGGTCACTGAAGTAACTGGGCTGCTGAGTGAAGATGTTTCCTGAAAAGGGAAAGGAGAGCATTTCCATCAGTTCAGACATTGATGCCAACGAGCAAATTAGCATCAGAAAATGGTACTTGTGTTATTGCTGACACCCCAGACACACCTAGTGACCATGAGGGACACAGCCCACCCTGACTCCTCACCTCATGCACAGGCCCTGCTCCCAAAAAGCTGCTCCATCAGCTCTCCACTGCCCCTGGAGATCCAGCAATGGGAATATGCTCATCAGAGCAGAGCAAATGAGATGTCAGATGATTCACGCTCCAGGGGCTGAATCAATGAATAATGCAAATACTATCACTGAACAACCCCAGATCCTTTATTTGACAACTGGAGTTGACTTTTAATTACTGATAACAGCTCAGCACACACCAGGAGATGTGCTGCCGAATATTTCTTAAAGGTAATGAGGCTTTAGTAACACCTGCTATTATTTTACTAGGACTCCATTATCCTTACAAAATACTCCGCTGAGTAATGCCACACCATAAATCCTCACCAAGCAAGCACCAAGGCTCCTATTTTCCTGGGAATTACTGTTCAGATTTTGACAATTAAGAGTTTTCCAGCAAGGACAGAGCTATGAGACAAGTTTCAGATAAAGTTATACCCTGAGAAGAACCTCAAGTTTCTGAAGTTATGAATTACACACCAGAACTGCTCATGCCATTACTGTCCCAACATAGTGAAATAATCAGGTGAGCAAATCTTTGGTCACCTGCATGCAGCATTATGCACTCCAGAGCATAATTCAAAGCAGTTTTCATTACTTAGGTCTCTTTTGGAATATTTTAAGACCCAGATAATCTGAGCTTCCCATCTGAAAGGGAAGCATCTGTCTTGCCATGCCTACTTTCCATCTCTGAGGCACAACAGAGGAATTTATAGTAGAAGCTACTGAAAAGGGATAAAAAGATTAAAAATGCAAAGGTTTACCTAAGATTTTCGGGCTGGAAATCTGTCTACACCACATGATCTAACTAACACTTCTCATGTGAGCGAAGCTGGAAATGAGACAAAAATAACTACCAAAGAAATGGAAAACCTTCATCCCATGAGCTGCAGGCAAAGTGGGTTAGAATTCAGGAAGAGCTGGCTTAATCCAAGGGCAGATATTCTTCCACTCAGGTGATGTTAAAGATCAAGATAAAGAGAGCAGCTAAATCAATGTGCTCCATCTTCACTCCTCAGCACCCATGGCTGGATGTTCCTCCCTGTGTACTCACCACCAGGGCCATGTGCACAGGCACAGAAAGCCAGGGATAAGCACAGCTTGAGCAAGGCTCTGAAGTGTTTGTGGTTTGAAGCTCTGGGTACATCAATGCCTGCACTGAAGTTTCAGGTTCTCCCACTTCCCACAGCAGTGATTACCTCACTCTGAATGTTTCACTTGGCTGCCAGCTCTGGGAACAGCAGCACTCACAGCTGGACTGTGCCCATCTCCCAACCCTCCTCACCCTTTCCCATCTCTGCCAGGGTTTTACAGAGCCCCACATTCCTCTTACAAGGGCTGAGGGCACATTCAATTGGCACAGGAAACAACTGCGCCTAGGTTTATGTCTAACAACACGAGCCTAGCTCAGGGCAGCAAAGCAGGACATGAAGCTTTCCTTGGAACAAGCAAAGTGCACATGGAAAAAGAAAAGCACAATCTGATCTAGAAATGACAGATCTTAGGTGCTACTGAACAATTAATTTTCAGAGCAGTTCCACTGGTATAAACCCCAGTAAGTCACTTTCATAAAAGCAAAAACCTAAATGTAGCAAGTTGTTCCTTGACTTTTACTGACCAATCATCTTCTGGAGCAGGAGCCCATTTCCTTTCCCAAAAAGGACACAGAGATCCAGAATCTTGGGGATATCGAACAGGAAGTTGTTGTAAATAATTTTTCCAAAGACAGATGGAGTGATAAAATGATCCTACGAAGACAAAAAAAAAAAAAAAAAGGAATTTAAAGGGTAATCCATATCTTGCTCTGCAGTAACTCCAGCATTATAAAGGCACCTGTAAAAACATCTCTCAAAGGTATATTAAGGAATTTATTTCATAGAAGGCAGCAACTCTTCTTGAAACAGCTTCTGTATTCCCATATTCCTGTCCTGCCACACCAGGCACCCCACTGAACAGCAGCTGAATTAATCTAATCTACCTGAAAGTTTTACAAAAAATCTCCCTGCAGGTCCCCAGTTCCCAGCCTGACACCAGAAGAGCTCAGGAGCAGGAATGAACAACCAGGCACAGGGACAACCTGAGGTTCTTGCACCCTGGAGAGCAGAACCCAGCACCAGAGACCACAGAATCAGGGACAGGCAAGGAGAAACCCCAGAGCTACAGCTCTACATGCTGACTGCTGAACACTGTGCCAAAAACTCTGAAAGCATTTCTTAAAAAATTCTGGATGAGAAAAATCCCATTGTCTGACACTGAGAAACAGGCAGCTGAAATGTGATTTTGGATTTTCAGAAGCCCCGTTTGCCTGTGACAGCAAATGTTTTCAATCCCAGTGAAAGGCAGGGCACATTGTCCCTGCTGAGGCAGAGGGATGGGGCTCAGTGCTGGCCAGGTTCCCTTTCCAGAACTCCTGCTGACTCCTGCATGACAATGGACTATTCATCCCCTGCAGATCACTCAACTAGAAAATGGTTTCAAATGCTCGCCTGCCTCTGGAGTGGTGAGGTTTAATCAGATCCTGCAATGAAAGACAGCACAGAGGTGTCAGGTACTTCTGCTGAAGTGATGCCAGCTGCAGGCTCCAGCATTCCTTCATCCTGCTCCTGTCCCACTCCTCCACTCCCAGGCCTTTCCCTCAAAACATCCTGAACCCCAGCACTGTGATGAGCAAGAGAATCAACACAGCCCTAGCACATGATGAACGAGTGAGGAGATCAGTGATTGCTGCAGCACAAGGGGCCTCACTCACCCTGCCCAAAGGTGAAAATCCCAGAGCTCCACACGGGAGCTGCACTCACACAATTAGTGATGAGGATGTCTTTAATTATAGAATCCCAGAATGGTTTGGGTGGGAAGGGACATTAAAGCCCATCCAGTGCCACCCCTGCCATGGCAGGGTCACCTCCCACTGCCCCAGGCTGCTCCCAGCCCCAATGTCCAGCCTGGCCCTGGGCACTGCCAGGGATCCAGGGGCAGCCCCAGCTGCTCTGGGCACCCTGTGCCAGGGCCTGCCCACCCTGCCAGGGAACAATTCCCCATTCCCAATATCCCATCCATCCCTGCCCTCTGGCACTGGGAGCCATTCCCTGTGTCCTGTCCCTCCATCCCTTGTCCCATGTCCTTCTCCAGATCTTCTGAAGCCCCTTTGGGCACTGGAAAGGGCTGTGAGGTCTTTCTGGAGCCTTCTCTTCTCCAGGCTGAATGCTTGATGATGCCAAGATAACTGTAATTTAGAGAGACTTCACTGTATGTCCAAAACTTGAGGCCAGTTCATGGAGACATAAGTATTAGAAGGAATTTTATGGCCCTGATGGAGTGAATGCTTGGAAACTGGTGGCCTGAAGAGCCTGTTCCATGAGGCCACACAAAGGAGCCTGTTCCATGTGGCCACACAAAGGCCAACGTGCTCTCTCTCCTCTTCCCATGACATATCCAACCACTGCACATGGATAACCTGCCATTACTCAGGAAGGAGATGGAGGCAATCAACCAAGGAACCACTGCATAGTTTGGATACTTCAGCCCTGAGTGTTATCACCTCCACTCTGAGAACCCAGCTGATAAAATCATCAGCAAGAGGAACGTCGTGCCAGAAGGAAAATGACTCATTTCTCTCTTTTTTTCCTAAGTCACACAGCCTGGAGCACCTGCAAGGCATGGGAACATTCACCTTGGACTCCTTGTGGGTGGACATCCTGAGGAAGGTGAGGAAGACACTGCGATGGAGGCACTTCTGCAGCTCCTGCACCTCGGGGTGGCAATCCCACAGCACGTCGAACTTGCGAGGGGCAGAGCGCAGGTAGGAATCCAAACACTTCTGCAGGCTCTCATCAAATATCACCTGCCACAAGGAAAGGCAGGAAAATGGAAGGAGGGAATGTCACACTTTCATAGGTCATGCTCCTGAGCAGCCCAGTTAAATTTAAAGCAATCAAAAACACTCAGACACACGAAAAGGATTCCTATATCCATCCAATACAAGCCAATTATTAAAATCCCCAATGGAAAATCCTTAGGGAAATACTTTCTTTGCATTCTAAGGTGCAGAAATGGAAATTAAATGTTTCCTGCATGACACAATAAGCATAAACAAATCTTTATGAAAATGATGGAAGGCTCATGGCTTTTACAAGCACCTGGATGTTTATGTTGTATCTCCAGATAAAAAGCAATGACTACCTGGCACCAGAATTTGTCATGAGGCAGAGCCAGAAGCCAGTTCAGGTCATCTGCAATGAATTTTGCTCGTTCCAGGAATTCCTCCACCAGAGCAGGGTCTCTGATGGCAGGAGGGGGCTTGTACAGCACGAACGACCGATCTGCTTTGATTTCTGGGTGCTGCAGGAAGCCAAAAAAACACTGTATTAGAACTCTGTATTACAACCACTGTATTAGAGCTCTGTATTAGAACCACTGTATTAGAACCACTGTATTAGAACTCTATTACAACCACTGTATTAGAACTCTGTATTAGAACCTCTGTATCAGAACCCACTCTGTATTAGAACCCACTCTGTATTAGAACCCACTCTGTATTAGAACTCCAGACCAAGTGACAGCAATGTCACCATCTGCTCACTGAATTCCAGGAAACACAAAGATACCTTTTAATACAACTTGATATTATCAAATCACAGAATGGTTTGTGTGGGAGGGGACCTTAAAGCTCATCCAGTTCCATCCCTGTCATGGGCAGGGGCACCTTCCACTATCCCAGGTTATTCCAGCCTGGCCTTGGGCACTGCCAGGGATCCAGGAGCAGCCACAGCTGCTCTGGGCACCTGTGCCAGGGCCTGCCCACCTTCACAGGGAACATTTCCTTCCCAATATCTAATCTAAATTTCAGTTTGAACCAATTACTCCTTGTCTTGTCGCTACAGTCCTGATGACAGGAACATTCCCTCCCCTGGTAACTTCTCATTTTCTACCCTTTCAAGGCAGTGGGTTTGTATCCTTCTTTATGAGCAATATTTTCAGACCTTGATAATTTGGCAGTTGTTGCTCCTTGCTTTCTCTTAACCAAAGCCTGACAAAGCAATCCTCCCACACCATCAAAACAAAGAGCAGGAGCTTCCTGGCATGCCTTTGAACTCTCTCTTTTTCCTCTGAACTGGTTCTTGCACAATACTCCATGAACTCAAACTGACACAACCATCAAAGGCACAAACACTTTGCTAGCTTTCCCAAAGGTTACTGAACAGGCTTTGCCCAAATACACCCATCCTAAAAGGAGAATTCAGTGAGCAGCAGGTTTGGGCTCTGCCTCATCCCAGGTGTCCTCAGGAGTGAGCAGCACTGACAGTCCCACTCCTGCAACACACCCAAAAGGCTCTCTCCAGACCTTATTTCTGGGAAAATATGGTTTCTGTGGGTTGAATTGTCTGGTTTCATCAAGCTGAAGGCACAAGGGATGAATCCCAGTGCCACAGCTTGGAGCTAAACCTGAGGCAGAGCTTGCAAAAACTCCCTGAGCATCCCTGCACTGCAGCAGAGGTTACAGACGCAAGAGAGGGAGCTGGGCTGTAAACACAGTTTACTCCAGATATTGAACACAGCAAGTTTGGGTCTCATGTTTTGGGTTTTTCTTATGGTGGGTAAATGAAATCTCAACTACGTGAACACATTAAAAAAAATTATTTAACAAGCAGGCTGAACAAATTTCACATAATATCCTGAGCTGGAAGGAACCCACAGAGATAATCCCAGCCCCTGTTCCTGCCCAGACCCCCAACAGCCCCACCCTGTCCATCCCTGGCAGTGCTGCCCAAAGGCTCCTGGAGCTCTGGCAGCCTCGGGGCCGTGCCCATTCCCTGGGCAGCCTGGGCAGTGCCAGCACCCTCTGGGGGCAGAGCCTTGCCCTGGTCTCCAGCCACTCCTGTCACCCATCCCAGACAAGCCCCAGTGTAAGACAATGATTTATTGAAGGTCTGTTTGGCTCTCAGGAACACCAGAGCTCACCAGTGCTGGCAGAGTTCTCAGCTTCCCTGTCTGGGGATCCCTTTCTGTCAGCTGGAGCTCGTCCAGAGGCAGTGCTGGCATCCTGGTGGCTTCTTCCTGTCCCCAGCAAACAAAAGCAGCACAGGATGCACTTCACAAGGTCAGTCAGGCAAGAGCAGAACAAAAGAGGCTGCAGCCCTGCTGTAACACACACACTCTGGCTGGGAACACATTTATACCCAGCAATTTATACCCCACCAAAATGCCAAATTCTGGGGGAACCTGGACATGTATCAGAGGAAATCTGGAATGTGGTGCTAAACTTTCATCTCTGATCCTTACTGAAAGGCCACAGATATCTCCCAGGACAACAAAACACATTTGGGGACACTGTTTAATATGGAAATTAGGTATTTAAATGGGGTTGCTGAAGAGCTGTGCTGAACTCTGGCCTTTGCAGCCTCTTTCAACACTTGCAGTGTCTCTCCTGACAGCACAAACTGCAGTAACAACCCAAACACAGTGCTATGCTTTAAAACAACCCAAGCACAGCCTTGCCTGTGCTTTAAAACAACCCAAGCACAGCCTTGCCTGTGCTTTAAAGGAGCATTTTTGGTGCCTGTGTGTGGAATCTCACAGCACTCAGCCAGACAAGGGACACAGGCTGAGCCTACAAAAGCCTTCCCCACCCACTCCTGCCAATTCCCATGTGCTGACAGCTTCATCTTCAGCAGCATTTGTGGGCTCAGAAATGTTCCAATTAACTTTCTGAAATTAACTATAAGGCAAATATTGGAGTAACTCAAGAGAAAGAATGTTATGGGCACTGTTAAAAAAGTTCAGACTTATAAAAAATGAAAGTTGCAGGATAAAAGGGCTTTAGAATTCTTTAGGGGGTAATGAGTTCTGCAAAATGGTACTAAAAAGTAATGCTCTTATTAAGAAAGTCACACATCTCATTAGATGCATGTTTAATTGCAGTCACATTGCCTGGGCTGAATAACAATTAAAACAAGAGCAGTGTCTCTAAAGCTGAACAACTCTGACTCAGGAGTGGGGTCATGGTTTAGGCAGCAAGTGAAAAAATAACATTTTTCATTTCATAAATTTGTCACCTATGGATTTAGGCAAAAATTCTGTAATCTAACATTTTAGAGCTCAATTAAAATAATACAGCAGAGCAACAGCAATACCCACAGTTTAGAAAACAAATAATAATTCTGTCTTTCCAGAAGAATTTAAAAATTAAAATGTTGACAGGAGCAACTATTACTTTATGATGAACAATTTCTTTGGGAAAAAAAAAAAAAAGAAACCACCAAAACTTTTTAGCAGAATAAGCCAAGCTGGCTTTTAGTTCAGTTTCATCATATATTTAATTTGGCTCTTAAAATTTTTAGAGTCATTCTGAAAGTTGCACATAGAAATGCGTATTTGTAACAAAGAAAAACATGCCAAGTGTCTCATTTCAAGCCTGGAATGTACCATAATCTCCAGTCCAAGTCAAAAACATCCTGGAAGAGACAGAAGCCTAGAGAAGCTAGAGAAGAGAATAAACCTGAGTATGGGATAAGCTCAACAGGGAATAATTCCTGATCACTCTCAGAAGCTTTTCCCCCCACAAAGAATTTTGGTGTAAACCACAAGCCCACAATTAATCTGTTGTGCCCTGTGATTTCAGGTGCAGTGGAAGAGCCAAACATGATGAACCAGAGAAACTTATTTTCCCAGAGAAATTTATTTTCCCAGTGCCAGGAATGTTCCCTGCCCTGCAATTCCCACTGATGAGCACATCCATGGAGACATCCAGAGTGAGGTGACACTGCTGAGGACGAGGCAGCCACCCCAGCACAGCTGGCACAGGGAATGCTGCAGCATGGATTCATGGAAGGGTTTATGTTGGAAGGGACCTTGCTGCAGCATGGATTCATGGAAGGGTTTATGTTGGAAGGGACCTTGCTGCAGCATGGATTCATGGAAGGGTTTATGTTGGAAGGGACCTTGCTGCAGCATGGATTCATGGAAGGGTTTATGTTGGAAGGGACCTTACAGCTCACCCCATTCCACCGCTCACCATGGCCAGGGATTATCCCAGGCTGCTCCCAGCCCTGTCCAGCCTGGCCTTGGGCACTGCCAGGGATCCAGGGGCAGCCCCAGCTGCTCTGGGCACCCTGTGCCAGGGCCTGCCCACCCTCACAGGGAACAATTCCTAATTCCCAAAATCCCATCCATCCCTGCCCTCTGGCACTGGGAGCCATTCCCTGTGTCCACTTGCTTGAGGCCCTTGTCCCCAGTCCTTCTCCAGCTCTCCTGGAGCCCCTTTAGGCACTGGAAGGGGCTCTGAGCTCTCCCTGGAGCCTTCTCCTCTCCAGGTGAGCACCCCCAGCTCTGTCACCTCGGCCCTACCCATGGCCAGACACCCCCGGTTAACCCAACACCGCCGGTTAACCCGGGCCCCGCCGCTCCCGCTGTCCCCGCGGCCCCGTCCCCTGCCCGGTCCCTGTGGCACCGGGCCCTGCCCAGCCGCTGCCGCCCAGCCCAGCCCCGCCTCAGCTGCCCGAGCCCGGTACCGGCACTCGCGTCCCACCAGCCCCGCGACGCTTCCGTGGCCCAGCGCTGCTTCCGGCCCCGAGCGGAACTACCGGGCTGGGCTGGGCGGGGCCCGGGCCGGCTCCGCCCCGGCGGCGGCACCGGCCCTGCTCCGGTTCTGGCTGTGGGCGGCAGGGGCGGCACCGGGGCCGGGTGTGAATCAGGGGGCGGCACCGGGGCCGGGTGTGGATCGGGGGGCGGCTCCGGCTCTGGCTATGGATCGGGGGGCGGCACCGGGGCCAACTGTGGATCGGGAGGCGGCACAGGCTGTGGATCAGAGGGGTGGCACCGGGTCCGGCTGTGGATCGGAGGGTGGGAGCCGGGCTCGGGCCGTGCTGCAGGGACCAGCCGGGCGGGTTTAGCCCCAAAGCCCCGCCCGCCCTCCGGAGCGGCCGCAGCCGCGGGTCCGGGGCAGTCACAGTCCGTGGGTTGTCCTGGGAGGGGAAGGAGCCTGCAGCTCTTCTTCCTTTGAAGGAAACCAGCTAGTTCAATAAATCATCTTTGTGAAGGAGACCTTTTAACTGCGCTGCCCCATCCAGTGTCACAGTGGGGCAGGGAAGGGTTCTGGGGGACGGGGACCTGTCACAGCCGGCGACACTCCGAGCCCAGACACTGCTTCCCTCGGCTGAGGCTTCTCCCTGCTCCTCGGGGATGTGTGTGTGCATTACAGTCGGACAGAGCACGAAAAGGGCAATTCTGTCAATTCATACGAGCACCGATAGTGAGAACCCTTTATATCAGTCACATTTACACCGCACCGAAACTCAGAGAACCGGGCAGCCACAGCTGCTCTGGGCACCCTGTGCCAGGGCCTGCCTACCCTCCCAGGGGACAATTCCTTCCCAAAATCCCATCCATCCCTGCCCTCTGGCAGTGGGAAGCCATTCCCTGTGTCCAGTTGCTTCCCAGTCTGCAGGGTGACCCGGGCACATCCAGCTGCCACCAATCTCCGCTCTGAAGGGTCCCAATTCTCCTTCTTGTCCACAGGGAACTCCTCCTAAGCTTAGCTCGGAGTCTGGCTTTAGATGGCAAAACGGCCTAAAATAGAAAGCACGCCATGCGCTGTGTCGTGTGCTCCTGAGGGACGGGCTGGACCGAGTCCCGCTCTCGGTGCCCTCCGTGCCCGCACCCTCCGGAGAAACCCAACGGGGCTCTCCTGCCCTCCGTGCCGGTCTGGTGGCACCGGGGTGCCCGTGACCCCGCGGGGGAGCCGCACACCCCCGGCCAGCAGCGCAGCCGGGCTCTGCTCCCCTCGCACAGAGCTGGGTGTTAGGGATTCACACTGCAAATGTCACCGCGGGCTGTCTGGAACCTGCCGTCTCCCCCATTCTGTTGAATTAGTAATTTTTAAATGAAATATTCATTGTTTCTATTTCTCAAACATCAGTGCACCTGTCAGAGCTTGGCGCTGGAGTCCCAGCACCAGCACGCTGTGCAGAACAGCCTACCAGAACCAAACCCCAGTGATGATGTCGGCCCAAGGTTTGCTCCAATTCTTTTTCCTGGAGGAGAACACTTGGCAACTGAAATATGATTCCCTTGCAAAGGCATCTGTTTATGTCCCCTCCTGTGCCAACCCTCCTCAGAGCAGTGCTGGTGAGATGCCAGGTGACTCAGTGGGCTCTGAATTTGTCATCAAGCTGTTTTGAGTCACTATTCCTCTTTTTGGGGTGTTTTTTGTAACCTTACCAACTGTGTATTCCCTACTTGATTTCCTAAAGCACCATGAGCTGTTGGAGCCCCTGCCCAAAACTGGGGATATTAACTCTACTTGCATAACCCAGTTAAATAATTGTAAGCAGACACACTATTTGTATAGATTTATCTGGCAAAAAACCCCTGCATCTGTTCACCTGTGACAACGTGCCAGAGACCTTCAAGACTTCATGACGGTAAAAGTTAAATCTGAAATCTTAATGGAAATCACAGCTTTCTGTGGGAAACTGCCAACCTGCCTTGCACAGATAAGGCAAAGCATTAAAGTCAGCTGGCTGAAATTCCATTTCTCAAGGATCAGTCCAGAGCCATCTGAAGGTACAGGGCAAGCAGGCTTCAGATCAGATGTGTAGGAGCAGAATTTCTCCACCAAAAATATCTTTGGAAAATGAGCTTTTATTGAAGGGCTCCTTCCCTGGTGTGATCCATGGGCAGGAGGAAGTTGCTCAGCGCTGAAGGTGAGGGTGAGGATGATCAGATGTCACAGGACGAGTGCCCTGTTCCGGCAGTGCTGTCCCAGAGCTGTGACAGCTCCCCAGGATCCCCTCCTGGCTCCGGCTGTGTGGGGAGGCTGCTCCCTGCTCAGAGGGTGACAAGACACAACAGCAGCTTTTTCATTTTGAGCCACCCAAAAAGCACCAGGAGGAGAACAGGAAGGCTGGAGCAGCCCCGGGGATGTGCTGCTGGAGGTCAGTGTGTTTTCCTTGCTGGCTGTCACGGACGCTGCAGTCCAGCTTCCCCAACAGCACCAAGGCTTTCACAGCTCCTGGCTTTGCTCAAATCCCACCTCAAAGTCCCAAATGACAGCGTGGGGCTGGAGAGAGGATCTGCTTTGTTCTCCTACTCACACAGGAGTCAGCCCACACCCAAACCAGGTGAGGCCTCTGTTGTTCCCCCTGCTTTTCCAAGGGACACCAGAGAGGGTTTAATGCTGCTCATGCACAGGTCAGAGGGGCCAGGGAACCCTGAAGGACCAGTACTCTTGAAGATACTTAAAAAATAGAATAAAATGAAAGAGTAATAAAATGGCTGAGAAAAATGTCAGCATAATCAAAAAAAAAAGAGACCTGCAGTACTAAATTGCAAAGTTGTAGAAATTGGCCATTAAATGTTCAAAGCAGCTGAAATGCAATTACAGTAATAGGCATGAATCAGGATAACCCAGGGCTTTGCAATATTTCAATCCAGCTCTACTTTTTCCTTTTTTTTTTTCATTTTATCTTGACGATATACACATTAACTTATCAAGGACTAATGGAAGTTACAAACCTTGGAATCACAGAATCACAGAATCATGCAGATTGGAAAAGCCCTCCGAGTCTGACCAATTATCCCTGGCAACCAGACCAGCTACTAAGTGCACACCCATGCATTTTCTCAACTCTCCCAGAGATGAGAACCCCACCACTGCCCTGGGCAGCTGTGCCAGGGCTTTAATGAAGAAATGTTCCCAAAATCCAACCTGAACTTCCCCTGGCCCAGCCTGAGGCCGTTCCCTCTGCTCCTGTCCCTGTTCCCTGGAGCACAGCCCGACCCCCCCGGCTGTCCCCTCCTGTCAGGAGCTGTGCAGAGCCACAAGGGCCCCCTGAGCCTCCTTTGCTCCAGGCTGAGCCCCTGCCCAGCTCCCTCAGCCTCTCCTGGGGCTCCAGCCCCTTCCCAGCTCCGTTCCCTGCCCTGGACACGCTCCAGCCCCTCAATGACAATGACACCTTCCACAGCACATCCCTGACAGCCACAGAGCCAAAGGTGTCCGTGTTAAACTCTTGACCTGATGGATCCCACAGTAATTTATTAACTCTGTCTCCAATTTTCCATCAAGCTCCAATTAACCTCCTCTAAGTTTATCCTTAGCCTAAAGGCTTATTGTAGGATAATTTTTATTTTGGTCACTAATGAAAGTCACCAGAGGTGACCCAAGATGCTTCTCCCTTGATGCCCTGGTGGCACTGCAGCACCAACAGGAACACCAGTTCCCATTGCTCCAGGAGGCTGCAGCCACAGCATCCACCTGGCCAGAGGAGCCAAGAGCTGCTCAGCTCTGGAGTTTTAATGGAGCAAGTTCCTGTGGGTGGGAATTCCCAGCAGGCACAGCCCTGAGCAGGTTACCAGGCTGTGTCTACAGGAAGGAATTATCACTGCAGATATCCAGCTAAAATAATATCATCTTCTAATGATACTTCAAGCAGCTCCTCCGATCCAACAGCTTCTTGCCCTCTCTTTGCCTGCTGTTTCTCTAATTATCCAACCTCAGGAGGAAGGTGATTAAGTGCTTATTAAGGAAAATAGATATGGTTTATTATGAAAAGCATTTTTTTCAGGCAGCTTTGTTGTAGCAACACAGCACATGACACAAGTTAGAGTTGTGCCAGTTTGCTTTTCCAGAGCAAAGACAGGTTCAGCAGAAAATGCTTTCAACCTTTCACTTTTTATCTCATGAAGCAAACAATGTCATGGGATGGTTGGAGTGGGAAAGGATTTTAAGGTTCACCCTATTCCCACCCTCCTTTCACTATCCAAGGGTGTTCCAAGCCCCAATGTCCAGCCTGGCCTTGGGCACTGCCAGGGATCCAGGGGCAGCCCCAGCTGCTCTGGGCACCCTGTGCCAGGGCCTGCCCACCCTGCCAGGGAACAATCCCCAATTCCCAATATCCCATCCAGCCCTGCCCTCTGGCACTGGGAGCCATTCCCTGTGTCCTGTCCCTCCATCCCTTGTCCCATGTCCCTCTCCAGCTCTCCTGGAGCCCCTTCAGGCCCTGCCAGGGGCTCTGAGCTCTCCCTGGAGCCTTCTCCTCTCCAGCTAAACAGACCCAACTCTCCCAGCCTGGATCCATAGGAGAAAAAGATGAGTGTAACATGAAGTCCTATTAATCAAAAATAACCTCATATGGATTATTAATCTGTTAAAGAAAATAATATAAGCATCCATAAACCAAGATTTCTGGACATTGTGCCCACACTGAGCTCCTGGCACACCCTCAACACCAATGGCTTCACAGAGCACAGCCAGGCTCAGCCAGCTGTGCTCCTACCTGGAAACACCAAAGCCATTCCCAGTGTTTGCTCAAAAACTTTGTCTCTGTTCCACTGAATTTGAAGTTCTGAGTCCCCCAAGTGCTCCTGTTTGAGAAGTCCTGTGATAATCATCTTGATGGGCAGCCAAGGCAGCGTCCTCGTGCTGCCTCCCTGCAGCCAAGCGTCGCTAATGGCACATCTTGATGTGAAATGGGGTTATTACAAGACAAAAAAATCCTCAAATGAGCCTCTTGCAAAGTGTTCTGACCAAAATGATATGTATGTAATAAAAATCTCATTA